AGAGAGGCCTTCTTTGACTAACCCATTTAAAACTGTGAACCAGGCTAGGTGCAGTGGCTCACACCTGTTAATCCCAGCATTTTGGGAGGCCAAGGCAGGTGGATAATTTGAGGTCAGGAGTTCCAGACCAGCATGACCAACATGGTGAAACCCCGTCTCTACTTAAAAAGTACAAAAATTAGCCGGGCGTGGTGGTGGGCGCTTGTAGTCCCAGCACTCGGGAGGCTGAGACAGGAGAAACTCTTGAACCCGGGAGGCAGAAGTTGCTGCAAGCTGAGATCGCGCCACGGCACTCCAGCCTGGGTGACAGAGCCAGACTTTGTCTCAGAAAAGAAAAAAAAAAAAAAAAAAAAGGAAAGTAAAAGAACAAAAGATAAAAGAATGGCTACAGCCAGGCATGGTAGCTCACGCTTATAATCGTAGCACTTTGGGATGCCAAGGCGGGAGGACTGCCTGAACTGAGGCGTTCGAGACCAGACAGGCAACATGGTGAAACCCTGTCTCTACTAAAATCACACAAAATTAGCCAGTTGTGGTGGCGCGTGCCTGTAATTCCAGCTACTCGGGAGGCTGAAGCGAGAGAATTGCTTGAATCCGGGAGGTGGAGGTTGCAGTGAGCCGAGATCGCGCCACTGCACTCCAGCCTGGGCAACAGAGCAAGACTCCATCTCGACAAATAAAAACAATAATAATAATGGCCACTCCATAGGCAGAGCAGCCCCAAAGCACTATTATTTCCCAATCTCCTTTATAATGTGCTGATTTATGCTGGGCACGTTGGCTCATGCCTGTAATCCCAGCACTTTGGGAGGCCAAGACAGGAAGATTGTTTGAGGCCAGGAGTTTGAGACCAGCCTGGGGGAGACTGGATTCTACCAGCAGGGGACATGTGGGCAGAGGCTCTGTGTGTGTGTGTGTGTGTGTGTGTGTGTGTGTGTAATTTTTATTTTTTAGAGACAGGGTCTTACTCTGTGGCCCAGGTTGGAGTGCAGTGACATGATCACGGCTCACTGCAGCCTCGACCTCCTGGGCCCAAGGGATCCTCCTACCTCAGGCTCCCGAGTAGCTGGGACTACAGGCACACATCACCCTTCCTAACTAATTAAAACAATATTTTTTAGGCAGGGCGAGATGGCTCACACCTGTAATCCCAGCGCTTTGGGAGGCCAAGGCAGGAGGATCATTTGAGCCCAGGAGTTCAACACCTGCATGTGCAACATGGTGAAACCCCAACTCTTAAAAAAATACAAAGAATTAGCCAGGCATGGTGACATGTGCCTGCAGACCTAGCTACTCTGAAGGCCGAGGTGGGAGGACTACCTGAGTCCCAGAGGCCCAGGATGCAGTGAGCTATGATTTTGGCATCGCCCTCCAGCCAGGGTGTCAGACTGAGACCTTGTCTCAAAAAGAACTTTTTGTTCTTTATTTTGGTCTGTGTTGGGCAGGCTGGTCCTGAACTCCTGGGCTCAAGCAGTCCTCCCAGCTCGGCCTCCCAAAGTGCTGGGATTACAGGCACGAGCCACCACACCCGGCCTAGGGGAAGGCTTTGAACCTCCCTGCTCTGCCCCCATGGCTGTCACAGACAGATGGAGGTGGCAGAACACCAGGAAGGAGGAGGTTGGGGTGGGAGACTTGGGGTCTGTGCGGGTGGCTGGGGAAGAGGGAGGACAGCCCTTGACCATGCTCCAGGCTGACCTGACCCCACAGGGCCGGCTGCCTCACTGGCTGCCTCACTCCCTAGACTGGGGGTTCTTGGGCAGCACCCAGGCTGAGGCCTAGAGCAGCTCTGGCATCACCTGCCTCAGGGTGGGCTCTGAGGAACTGGGGTGCTGGGTGGATGTGGTGAGGGGGTGGAATTGAGGCCAGGCCACCCCAGGGAACCTCTTGCCCAGCTCTCCATCTTTGTTTCCCGGGGGGGTCTCTGGGTTCTCTGAGGATCTCTGGGTGGTCTCGATGTCTCTGAATATTTCTTTTTTGTTGTTGAGACAGAGTCTCACTCTGTCGCCCAGGCTGGAGTACAGTGGTGCAATCCCAGCTCACTACAACCTCCGCTTCCCGGGTTCAAGCGATTCTCCTGCCTCAGCCCCCCGAGTAGCTGGGACTACAGGCCCACGCCACCATGCCCAACTAATTTGTATTTTTAGTAGAGATGGGGTGTCACCATGTTGGTTAGGCTGGTCGAGAACTCTTAGAAAAGAAGGAAATAAAGAAATGAGGAAGTGCCAGACCCAAGGCTGCAGGTGGTGGGGGCAGGCAGGCCTGGGGTCCAGGACAGCGAGTTTTGGAGGTTGGTCTGGGGAAGCTGGGGTCTTGGAGCCTGAACCTTCTGGGCTCAAAAGTGATCCTCCCACCTCAGCCTCTGAAATAGCTGGGAGTATAGGCTGAAGCCACCATGCCTAGTCAATTTTTTATTTTTATTTTTATTTTAGACAGAATCTTGCTCTGACGCCCAGGCTGGAGTGCAGTGGCATGATCTCGGCTCACTGCAACCTCCACTTCCCAGGTTCAAGCAATTCTCCAGCCCCAGCCTCCCAAGTAGCTGGGATTACAGGCACCTGCCACCACACCCAGC